GGAGCTTTATGATTGCCAATACTAAACATAGCATTTTTAATTTCTTCAGAAAGAATCGGCCGTATCATATGATTAGCCTCCGAGAGAGAAAGCTTTTTCGTGAATAAGTGCTCAGGCATAATCGGGTCAGGAGTCTCACACCGAAGGCCAAGAAAATCCCGAAAATATTCAACAAAAATATTAGGAACATCATCACCATGAACAAATTCACCAGTACTAGTACAAACCGATTGAATGGAATTGGAATGGTGCCGTTCTTTGATCACATGATGAAAAAATTTAGTATTCAAATCCCCCTAATTTAACCACTTAACTTTCGCCCGTTGCTTAGCAGCACACTCCGCATCCCAACAAGCACTCTGGTAAGCAAGACAAAGATGCCCAAGTTCCAACCCCAATTCAGCATTACAGGGATTTTTATCAAAATCCAGTTGAACACGGTCTAACTCAATTTTTAGAAAAGAAACCCTCTTGCCAAGATTACCAAAAGTATTACGAAGCCTACGAAGCGGGACCTTTAGAGCCTTTAAATGGGAAGTTACCTTAAACATAAAAGTCCCCTCAACATAAGTAGACCATTCCTCCTTAACAATCTTCAGGAAATCCGGGTGCTCCGCCATAAAATTATCAAATTTAAACCCACACCTCGTTTTCCGTAAACCACCTTTAAAAGAAAGAACCACCGGTGAATGATCCGAAAGTCCAGCAGGATGGAAATGAACAGTAGCATCATGGAATTTAGTAGTGAATTCAGCATTAGCCATAGCCCTGTCAAGTTTTCGCATGATTCCCCCTACAGAATTCGGCTTTTGATTCCAAGAAAAATGAACACCAGTATATTGCATGTCAAAAATTTCGACATCCTCCACACACGCAAAAAAATCAGACATATCAATATTACGTCGTGAAGACCCTCCAAACCCATCATGAGGAAATAACATAGAGTTGAAATCTCCCATTACTATCCATGGATTGGAACTAATCAAGACTTTAAATTTCCTTMATCCCGACCACAATTCTCGTCGAGGAGTACATGCATTTGCACCATAGACCACAGACAGAAAGAAAGCATCTTGACCACCTCNGCATTAGCCATAGCCCTGTCAAGTTTTCGCATGATTCCCCCTACAGAATTCGGCTTTTGATTCCAAGAGAAATGAACACCAGTATATTGCATGTCAAAAATTTCAACATCCTCCACACACGCAAAAAAATCAGACATATCAATATTACGTCGTGAAGACCCTCCAAACCCATCATGAGGAAATAACATAGAGTTCAAATCTCCCATTACTATCCATGGATTGGAACTAATCAAGACTTTAAATTTCCTTAATCCCGACCACAATTCTCGTCGAGGAGTACAYGCATTTGCACCATAGACCACAGACAGAAAGAAAGCATCTTGACCACCTCTTAGAAAAACTTTACAGTTCAGGAATTGATTCTGAACCTCCATAGCCATAACATCTAAAATACGAGAATTCCAAGCAAGGATGATACGTGTACCCGACACACACACAGTATGATTAGAAATCCAAGCCCACCGACCAAAAAGTTTGGTACACACACTWTCAAGAGAGTCCTTAGACACATGAGACTCAATAATTGCACACAAACTAAGATCATTACAATGGATAAAAGACTTTACCTCATTTTGCTTTATCGGAGAATTAAGTCCCCGAATATTCCAAGTTGCAAATTTTAGCATGATGAAGAGGCCTGGTCCAAACCTTGCTCCCTCCTGTTCATATTCAAAGTGTTCGCAACAGGATCATTATCCATGATTACGTGGCAATCAACAAGATTTTCCTCCTCATCTAACTGCTCCAGAACTCCAAATTTGTTGGGGGCTACCACCGRGTCTAACAAAACCCCCCTTCTTGGCATCCGAAAGTTTTTGACCACAGAATCAATAAGAGGGGTGGGAGTAGGCCGAGGATGGGAAGAAGCCCCAGAACCAACAGTACCTGTATTAGACGTATTCTTCAAAAGCGAACTTGTTGGAGCAACATCATTAGTGCCTTTATTCTTTATTTCCAACTGACCCACATTAGAGGAGCTTGCTCCCACATCCACCGGAGTACCAAGATTTGAGGCAATCTCAGGTTCTTTACCTTTGTCCTTATGTCCAATTTTCGGTCGCCACTGCTTTTTCTGCACTCTGATAAATCCATCAGTGTCTGTCCTCCCATCAACTTGCTTACCTTTTTTCAAACTAGGAGCTTTAACACAATTAGAGATCTTATGACCAAAAACCTGACAATGTGAACATTGGATCGGTTCCCAAAGGTATTCGACTTGGATTTTTACATGTTCGGCATCACCACCATTGAGATTCGGGATTTCAACATCAATAGACTTTTTTAACTCTCCCACAGACCAAACCTCAATTAAAACCTTAGCAAAACCCGGCCGTCCCCAAGCTTTCTCACACATGGCTGCGGTACAAGCATCCATCTGTTTCGGAACTCCCAAGACACTTGCAATGCGACTAACTCCCTCCTTGTTAAAAGCAACCAATGGAATRTTATGTAATTTCACCCATAGAGGACATGAAGTGTGATCCGGTTTCCTTAACCCTTTAGAGGGATCCCAACGATAAACAAAAAGCGGAATACCGCGAATCATTAATGGCCCCGCTTCAATAGCTTGGTCACACCCTCCTACATCATTAAATTTAAAGAAGAAAATCCCATTCTCATTTAACATTGCATCATTAAAGCCATATTTTCCCCARGCCGAACGAACGAAATTCTTAACAATAGGGAACGGAATACGAGGGCCCAGAAAGTAGCCATACAGAACCGAATTATAAGCTTTAGCAGCCTCCTTAGCCATTTCAATTGGAATTTTCACATTAACATCCTTTTTATCAGGCAACGGATAAAATTGAAGATCCATGGCTACCGAATTACCCACCGCTTTCACAAAGTTTAATTTCTCCATACCACCACCTTGAGAAGTAAGCCTTTCAAAAACTGAAGTTCTGATATGATCATTAGAAGTAGGAATAGAATTCTCATCCATTGCTTCACACACACTAAGAAGCCAAGGTGCTGAAACTAACGTTTAGTGCCCTTAATAAGATAGACGAAGACCACGGAGACCGAGGTGCTGAATATCTATCAAGGGAATTCAACGCAAGTGACGAAGACCCCGGAAACACTTAGGATGTACGAAAGAAAATGAAAAGAGAAGAACTATACCAACAAAAGAAGATGGCCACGATCAAAACTGCAAAACGGGAAGCAGCAGAAACGAGCAGAAACAACAGCAGCAACCAAACCAAAGCCGTGCCAACAATATAAAAACAGTAGCAACAATTCAGATCGGGATGCCTACTACCAAAACGACCAGCAGCAGCAGACACAAGCCAAAGCAGTAGGGACAGCAACAATGCAAAGCGGCAGATCACATAAAATAATGAAATTACCAGCCCAAAACAATTCAAACTTCTGCTTTATACGAAGAAATCAACAGAAGCCAAACCAAACAAAGTTTGGAATCCAAACAACCCACACAGCAGCACACCTCAAGCAAACGATCACAGGAAAGAAAACCACCTGGTACTATTCTAAACCCGCAGAAAGAAGCACAAAAATCAACCACAGCCACGTAAACAGCAGACGAGAAAATCAACGGTACTTGAGCAGAACACAAACCAAAAGGATTCGCAAACAAAACAGCGTGAACACCCTAGTGGGTTATCAAACAGATCGCATGCAGAACCCTAAAACACTACGGTCAAGTCTGAAACAGTAGACGGAAACCTGCCAACCCTAGCCGCAGCGGAAACACAAAAGCCAAACAAGAAAAGAAACGGCTTACCAACAGAAGATCAAACCATAACCAGAAACCCTAGAGAGAGCAGCCGTAATGAGACGGAAACCCTAAACCTCCTCCTTCGGTAACGAGACACAAGGAAGTTGAAGCAGATCCAATCGTTTACAAAACAGCCACAAAACACGAACAAGCAGAAGCATAGGGAATGCAGCCCGATCGAAAACAGCAGCGATCGTGAGTGTTTTGTAAAACCCTAATCCTCCTTCTACGAAAGCAAAACACAATCAAGGAGAAAGGAACAGATCCATTCGAAAATAAACAGCCACAATGATCACGAACACACTCATATGATCAACGCAACAAGCATGAAACCCTAACTCAAGATCGCCATCTTGAGAGCAAAAGTCAACGTAGTATGATCAGACTTGACTGTTTTTTTTTTTTTTTTTTTTTTTTTTTGGTCTAAGAAGAAGTTAATGGGAGTAATTGTGGTAGAAT